GGATGCAAACACACACACACACACACACACACACACACACACACACACACACACACACACAGTGACCTGGGAGACAGACTCCTGGGTCAAACAGTCCTCCAGCTGTTGGTAGAGTGATGTCATAGATCCGAGGTCAGAGCTGACAGCTGATTGGTCAGAACAGGAGGCAGAGCCTCCATGTACCAACAGCTCAGAGTAGGTTTAGTTTGCTGTCACTGTAATAGTGTGTAGTACACTATGTAGTACAGTGTGTAGTACAATATGTAGTACAATATGTAGTAGTGTGTAGTACAATATGTAGTACAATTTGTAGTACAGTGTGTAGTACAATATGGAGTACAATATGGAGTACAGTGTGTAGTACGGTGTGTAGTACAATCTGTAGTACAATATGGTTAATGTTGTTCCCTCTGATGTGAATAATATCTGAATGGCTCGTGCTCTTCAGTGTGCGGTGGAATGTGTTTAGCGCTGCAGTGTTGCTGGATTGATATTGTCTATATGCATTGCCCGTTAGTGACGCAGCATCTCATCATGCGCGTATTCATGTATCTGCACTCTGCAGTTAGTGTATTTGTAGGTGTTGAGCTTCATTTTTACACAAACCTAATAATAACCGTAGCTGTGGCGTCATAATAAGGTTATTAGGAGGAGGTTCAACTGTAGAAGGACAGCACAGAAGGCCCAGGTATGAAACACACGGCCCAACACTGGTGCACGGTGTGCGGCACGGTGTGCGGCACGGTGTGCGGCACGGTGTGTAGCACGGTGTGTGTTATAAACTGACCTCTAGTGTGATGTAGAGAACAGAGACGGCGACATTCAAACTTCCTGAAACAGCTTTCATGTCCTTCAACAACATCTGTTCAGTGTTCAGACCTGAAGACAAAATACTACATTAATACCACTAAATAGCCCCTGTACTTCCATATACTGCAGTACACTGTGTTATAAACTGCAGTTTTTTGTCGCTCACCTGAGACGTCAAACTTGGCGTTCTGCAGCGTCTGGAAGAGAGCACCTCTCGTTGGCAGAGCGGGAAAACGAGACTCCAACGCTGCCGTGAACTGACTGTCTTTAAGAGTCACTTTACCTGCTGAGGGAGCCATGTTGACGCAGTCCAACACCACCGCAGCTACACAACCACACACAAATACACAATGATACACAACAAGTACAAACTGAGGACGTGTTGAGGTGTTGCGAGGACGTGCTGGGGTGTTGCGAGGACGTGTTGAGGTGTTGCGAGGACGTGCTGGGGTGTTGCGAGGACGTGTTGAGAGGACGTGTTGGGGTGCTGTGAGGACGTGTTGGGGTGCTGTGAGGATGTGTTGAGAGGACGTGTTGGGGTGCTGTGAGGATGTGTTGGGGTGCTGTGAGGATGTGTTGAGAGGACGTGTTGGGGTGCTGTGAGGACGTGCTGGGGTGCTGTGAGGACGTGTTGGGGTGCTGTGAGGATGTGTTGAGAGGACGTGTTGGGGTGCTGTGAGGACGTGTTGGGGTGCTGTGAGGATGTGTTGAGAGGACGTGTTGGGGTGCTGTGAGGACGTGTTGGGGTGCTGTGAGGATGTGTTGAGAGGACGTGTTGGGGTGCTGCGAGGACGTGTTGGGGTGTTGCGAGGATGTGTTGGGGTGCTGCGAGGACGTGTTGGGGTGCTGCGAGGACGTGTTGGGGTGCTGCGAGGACGTGTTGGGGTGTTGCGAGGACGTGTTGGGGTGTTGCGAGGACGTGTTGGGGTGTTGCGAGAATGTGTTGGGGTGTTGCGAGAATGTGTTGGGGTGTTGCGAGGATGTGTTGGGGTGTTGCGAGGATGTGTTGGGGTGTTGCGAGGATGTG